GCCTCAGGGACCTCGCTCCCTCCTCTCTCAGAGGTGGAAGTGGTTTTCGTCCCCGGCTGAGACAAGGTTGGGTGGGGTCCGGTATCCTCTGGGAAGGTGAGGCGGCTATGCACACTCACCTCCCTCGAACCCAAGCGTTCGTGAACGCTTTGGCGGGCGAATTCCGGGTCCTTGGAGGGCCCCATGGAATTCTGAGCTTCAGAGTGGTCAGAGGGTTGAGGGTTCCTCCTCCTCTCCTTACTGGAGTTTCGGGTGTCCCCTCGCCACCTCTGGCCGAGTTGTCTATGTGGTGGAACTTGTCCACCCTCATCCTGACCGATCCTCCTTTTCAGGTTTCTCGGCTGGTGATCATCAGGCATCTGGATTGGAGCCCCTTGAGCTTTAAGGAACTCCATGCAGATGGCCACTGCTCTGGCCACTTCCTCGGTGGAGGGTCCGGAGGGAGGAGTCTCCCGCGGATGTGACCTGGATTGCACGCTATGGCGCGGCGGGGAGTTCCTCGCACCTGAGCCACTCGGTCTCGGGGATGGCCCCGGCTGCCGAGTGTGGTGCGAGGTGTTCTCCTCCTGGAGGCTAGGACCTCTTGAGGCTTCCCTTTCCGGAGAAATGGGGGCCTCCGATTCGGAAGAGGCTTGCTCCGGGGAGGGATAAACCGGCTGGCGTTCCCTCACCGTAATCCGGCCTCCTCCCTTCTTAGCCTTCTTGGAACTCTTTCCACTCTTAGTCATGGCGACTGCCGGAGTGTTTGATGACTGACGCGAAATTTAGTAGCGTTCCCCACAGACGGCGCCAAATTGTTTCGGATGAAAACAATCGAATCTCGGAAGATCCTTTTATCTTGAGGGAACTTGGTCTCGGTCCAAACAACGCAGGAGCCGAGGGTTTCCTGCACAACAAATACACGTAAACTAGCCTCGGGGGGGACGCCGAGGAAGGCCCCTCCGATGCTTAAGTCAGTATATTAGAGAGAGAAAGCTGTGCAAGAGTTTAGTTGCTTGAGGCTTTATTGTCTTACCAAGAATTGACCAAATTGTTGGCTTTTATACCTTGGCTAATAAAGGAGGCGGATTGGGCCCGGAAGTCAGTTGGGCTGGGCCAAGCTGATTGGGCCGTTGACTGACCTTGACATGGCTTTGAGGATGTTGATTTTTGACTTTAGCACATTTGGAGAGTTGAACCTTAACCTTGGGCTTTTAATTGGATCATTCAGTGACCAGGCCCAATTGGACTAAATTGGACCCAAACACTCCGTATCAATTTCGGAGATAAATCTTTTGAGCAAACATCTATGCATACTTAAATCTCAACCCTCACAGTTTCTTGGTTGGATGTTTATGGATGAATCTAGAGAGTTTTTAAGGAACATATGTTCCCATAAAGTTTTTGTACTGTCTTGTTCGACTGTTAATTTTAAATTTATTTAGTAAAAAATATTGATAATCATTCTGCTAAACCCTAATCCCTAAATCACAAAACAAATAAATCGTTGCACCATCAAAAAGAGAGTATATTTGTTTTGGGGAGTAAACAACTTTTCAAGATCTTACAAACAAATCAACTACAAGTATATCAAGATTTTAAAACACAAACGAACGTATTCCTTATCATGCTTGTAATTTTACCAAAACATATAATCCAAAAACACATGTTACAAATTGTCATGGAGCCTATTATTTGTGACGGAATTTGATCTCAAGTATTGGATATCAAATGAAAACTGAATAATGGACCAAAAGCTATGAAGAGGAGGTAGTAAAAAATAAATAAATAAATAAATAAATAAGAAGTACTAACCTGGGTATCATCAGAAGTGAGGAGAAAATCACGATCTTTGGTAGCAAAAAGAGATGATAATCTTGAACAACTTATTCCATTATTATTCATTTCATCTCTTCTTTCTCTCTCTACTTCCATAACCTTGTTTCTCTCTCTACAAAAATAAATAATTAATTTGGATTAGATTGAGTATTAATCTTGAAGCGCTTCTACATACATAAACTTAAAATATACAGAAAATATATAAATATAATTAAATCAAAAAGAAGCAAATTCTCGTTATTTAATTGTACCTGAAAATTCCTCGTCAGAAAAAAAATGTACCTGAAAAATTTCTTCAAAATGAATAATAATGGCAATCCTAGTATGCATCACTAACTAACCCCACCATTTATAAAATCACATAACACGTAGCATTCAGTGTTTTATACTCTTTCTTTCTCTCTCCTATGAGATTTATTCTTCTGTTTCTCATCTCTATTGCAATAACTTTAATCACCACCGTTGATTGGGTTGTGTGAAAGGTGAAGTCAATGGTACTTCATCCGTTTTTACAATAAATCTTTCCAATTTTTTTTTTTTTTTTTGGAAAGAACCATTAGTCGGGCAAATTTATTAAAGTAAGTCAATTTCCGCCAAAGTTAGAAAGCTTTGGGGAAAAATCTTTCCACTTGTCTACACATTACTTTGATTAATAATATTATTTAAAATATATTAGAATAAAAATATAACAATAAAATATTAATACTCTCTGCGTTTCGCATTAGTAGAAACTAGGGGTGAGAAAAAATTTCGGGTACTTGGAATTGGAACCGAAACCGGTTAGAACTGACGGGTCGGAAATCGAAATTGGACCCGGTGCTTCCAATTCCCGATAATAAATTAAGGACCCGATTGCAATCGGTTCTAATTCCGATTCTTAATTTTTTGGAACTAGAATAGGTTGGATACCTGGTTATCCAAGATATATTCAACTAAATATATATAATAAAAACAAAAATACTACCTCCGTTAATAGTTATGTGCAACTTTTATCATTTCGAGATGATCGGGGTTATGTGCAACTTTCCATTTTCTTTCTATTTTTAGTAAAAAAAATTAGAAATTACAATATTGCCCTTACTTAAAAATTTTATTTTTTTAATTACTACCCTTATTATACACTAATCTAATTAACCTAAAATTAATCAGATTCTCCTAATCTAATGATTCCCTCCTTTTATTTTCCCAATTTCCCCCCTTCTCTCCTTATTTACTCACATTCCCAACCACCAAAAATTAAATTCTGATGGTTGGTTCTCTCTATATCTTCTGGAGAGTTCAGAAGATGAACCCTACTTCATCTTTTGAGTATTTCTCTCTCCTCTGTTCTTGCGATTTTCTCACTTACTCTCTCCAGATCTACTCTTCTTTTTTCAATCTTTCCCAAACAAAGTCCCCACATAACAATGGTGAACTTGAATCCTTTAAAGGACGCTCTCATGGCAACAAACGACAAAGGAGAGGAGAATCTGATCCTCCACTTCATCCACTGCTTTGAGGTTAGTTCTCCTTTCCCTCGTGAATTTTACGAGTCCAACAAAAAGGGTTTGTATTGTAATTTGTACACTTACAGAGCTCTGGGTCAAGTTCACAAAAGTGTTGAGGAGGAAGAAAGACTAAAGAGGGAGGAGGGTGAAGGTGAGTCCCGTCGTAAGTCGCTTGGTTTCTCTGATGTTGCTGTAGATCTGGTTGCTGAGAGTGGTGAGGGAAATTCTGTAGTCCCAACAAAACCTAGATCTAAGAGGGAAAGGCCACCCTCAAGGGTTCGGGCTACGAGGAAGGCCGCGCGTGTTGCTTTGAGAAGGATGCGTGGGCTCCCTGACGAGGAGGTGATTGTCCTATCTTCTGATGAGGAACCTCCTTCCAAGAAACCTGAAGTGCCCTCTTCTTCTGTTCCTGTTGTGAAGTGCTTTGTGAGGCGGATGAACCCTACGGTTCAACCCTCTGAGTAGCTGCACTCGTATCGATTCCTAACCCTAACTTCTTTAATTTATGTTTTTGAGTCCCTTTTATTTGATGATTGTGTGTGCTTGTGATTTGATATGTGTATGATGGTTCTATTGTGCTCTGAGAAGGATTGTGGTTGGTTAAATTGTGGTTTGATGCATTATGTGAGTCCTTTTTATGTTCATTTACTGCTTCTAATATTGGTGGATGTTGTTGATGACTGGTCGATTTATATTATGGTGGATGATTTTGGTTGACTTGGCCCTGCTGGAATGTATTGTTTATGTTGGTTGCCTTATGTGAGATTTGGTTGAATATGTTCACTCATGATGCATGTTCTGGTTTGGATACTGTTTGGAAGATGTTGTATTCATAGCTTTTGGCTTTTGGGAATTTGATTGTTGAATGATGAGCCTTAATGATGGTTGGTTGTGTTAGCTTTTTGGTATTTGATGTGTAAATTGTTCTCAATGATCATTCTTGTAGAGAACATTGTGTAATGGAGTCCCCTTTACATGCATCTTGTTGTGGATATGATTGAGTCCCCCTTTTTATTTGACTATAGTGTTGAAATGGAATCCAAATGATGAAGGGACTCTTATGAAATACTTTATGAACAAAGGTTTTGCTCCAACAATCACTATATAGTGATTGAGGTTGAGGTAACCTTGTTTGAATTGTTGTGTTTAAAAACAAGTTTTCTCCTCATGGATTCATTAACTTAAGTACTTTTGCCAATTTCATTCCATTCAAAATATGGCTACAAAAAGCCGGTTACATGTGCATCAGAACTAAACCATCACTGCCTTTGATGTTTGTTTCAATTACCTACATACAAAATAAACCTAACCACCTATTGATTGGTACAAAAAAAGATTGAAACAAAGGAGAAATAAAACCTAGCATTATAGACTCCTAAGTGGTTATGTGTGGCAGTGTTTAGTTGTCTTTTGTGTCTCTTTGTAACTAGTCTTCATCTACCTCCATGTCTTCTGATTTTGCTTCATGATTTCCCTGGGGTGCTGGCCTAAAGATTGTGTTCAGATACTCCACAGCTTCCAAAATTATACTCCTGTCCACTTCAATCAGATTGGCAGAATGCCAAGATTCTCTAGTTTTTTCTTCTTCATATGTGGAATTTTGTACTTGTTCCCTCCCTCTGTCTTGAGTATCTTGATCATGCATCTTTGTAATATCATCCAAATGTACTTGTTTACTTCTGGTTTGAAATTGTTTTAAGACTCAATAACCTTTTTAACAAGCTCATCTACTTTCTTAGGAAAAGACTGATATTGCAAAGATTGAATTGATCTGAATAGACCTAAATCCAATACATTCAAATCTGGTGATTGTGCTGGTTGGAACACAAACTGAATGTTGAATCTATGTGCTTGTGTTGCTGAAATGAACTCTTCATCTCTTGGTATTTGATGTGGCCTTGCATTATCCCACTGTATGACCACATTTTTGGGCAAACTTTTTGGCCATTTTAACACTATTTCTGGTATGACCTTGTTTAGTAACATGTGTCTTATTGCATCTCTGTTCACATTTTGAAGTGCTTTAGTGACTAATGTGCCAGCTGCTCTGTTTTTACTTGACTTCTTTTCCCTTTCTTGTTGTGTGAATGGGAATATCCCATACTTCCCATCATGTAGGAGTTTCCCATTTCTCCCACACAGAGGCTTCCCAATAATGGCCATGAACATAGCTTTTAATTTGAATCTTCTTGATTGTTGAGCCATATAGGGATCTTCCTCACTAGGTAGTAGATAGAATCTCCTCTTATCTAGGTTAAGATAAAACCATTTCTCATCAATGTGTATGGCATACTGCATGTCCTCAAATGTGGGGTTCTCATTACCTTGGATTGGGTTTATATGAGACAAAACTCATTTCATTCTTGCAACCTTGTGATCTGATGTCAGTGTTGGCTTACTGCTTGCTGTGTAAAAGTTCTCATCCTTCCCTTTTTCTTCAAATAATGAAGAGTTACATGTGAAATCTTGAGTGCTGCAGCATATGATCTTTGTGTCTGTCTTAAATGTAGTGGGACTGACTGTAGGAATTCATCGGAGAATTTTCTTGGCTTTGGACATGTCCTCCTTATCTTTTTGGACCTGACATCAATCAAATTCCCTTCTGCCATTTGCCCTTTTATATCTGTGAAAATTCTTGTGATTGTTGATTTGTGAACCTTGAATTTGACTGATAATTCCACCTTGTAGCCTCTAGGTAAGTTACCATCTTGCATTTTCAATAGCATTGCATCAACAATCTCTCTATTTTGTTGCATGTTGAGTTGCTTTCTGTTTGGTTGGACAGTCCTTTCTTCAAATGATGATTGAGTTTCATGTTGCTGAGTTTGAGTGTTGTTGAGCATGCTTGACTCTTCTTCTTCTTCCTCTTCTTGCATGTTCTCATTGTCTGAGTTGTATGCCTCAAAGTCTGCATCTTGCATCTGTTCTTCATGCTCAAAGTATAACTCTGTCATTTCTTCCTCTGTGATTAACTGATCAATGTCGAAAAACAGATCTTCATCTATGTCTGTCATGTCTTCTAGTTGCTGTTTCAATTTTCAGATTGCTGTAGATGGTGTGGGGGTGGCTGATGAAGGTTTTTAAGGAGACGAAGCTGCCCTCCAGATTATACAATGATGATTTGAAGACTAATTATGTGGAGCACTAATTTTAATTTAGGTGTAATTTTTTGGGGTTAATGTGGGCTAATCGGGTGTAATTAGTGCTAACTTTTGGATGAATTTGAACATCTTTTGAAAAAACATGGTGTTGTAATTTATGAGAAGCATTGAATGTTTCATGAATAGTGAAGGCTGGTATTTATAAGCTTCTTAAATACTGAATGGAAGCCTTAAATGTTTGAATGTTTGCTACCTTTTTTTAAAAAAGTTATAGGAAATTTTGAAATTCCCAAATTCAAATTTTTTGGTGAAAATTTGGAGGGAGGGGGGAACATACCCTTCCAAAAGAATTAGATTTCCCCTCCATATTTGCAAGTGGGGGGGACCAACTTTCTCTCTCCACTCCTATTAATTAACTCCCTTATCTCCCTCTAATCTTTTCCCTCCATCTTTTGCATTGGTATCCGTTATGTGCTCCAAAGTACACATAACTATTAACGGAGGGAGTATGCTGAATGTATCTAATTAGTAAAATAAAATTAAGTAATAATAATATCTTACATAAATAAAATAGATTAATGCATATAAAAATATAATTATTAAATGCTAAAAATGAAAATAAACCAAAAAAATGTTATAATTTATATTTTATATTAGCAAGTATGTATATAAGTGGGTATCCGGAACCGAAACCAATACCTGGTGGAACCAATTCTAATTCCTAAATTTTAGGACCCCTAGTTGCAACAGTAGGCTTGGCTCATAGTTTAAGAAAATTATAGACTGGGCTTATAGGCTTATAATATAAAGTATTGTTAGTAAGAGATATAAATAATACAATAATAAATAAATAAATTAGTGTGGGTGGGGTTGGTAGGTAAGAGAAATAATAAAAAATAAATAAATGTAAAATTAAAGTGGGGTAAGTGGAAAGAGAAATTATAAAATAATAGTAGGTCCTTTCCAAATATAGTAGTGTTGCAACTAATATGAAACAACCGAAAATGAAAATTATTGCCACTAATGCGAAACGGATTGAGTAAATAATTCATTGAAACGAATCAAATACAACATTACGTCATCATATTTTACGCGTGGAATATGTATTAAGAGTAGTTTAAAACTTATCTCATTCATCTTATGAATAATGTTAAGATTCTAAATGAGAAAAACAAAAAGGAACGGACCGATCCCGAGGGGAGTATTAGCAGTTAAATCACTCAACCTTGAATTCACCTTATACTATGGCGTATATATAAGAATTTTCAATGGCTTCGATGTAATGAATAATGATCAAAGCAATCCTCAATAGTCATAAGTGATTTTTTTAGGTTAATTTTCACTTTAATGCCTTTAGACTTGACATAATTTTACTTTGGTGTCCTATAATTTTAATAAGGAAAAATGGAAACTAATAGTTTCACCTCTGCTCCATCTTCCATAAACAATCCCACCTTTTGAAATTCCGGAAACAATCCCACCTATTGAAATTCCATAAACAATCCCACATTTTACCCTAATCTTCTTTTAACAATCCTTTTCACTTGTAACCGGTTAAACCGGTCAAATTTTTTTATTCTTGATTGTTTTTATTGAAATCTCCTCCCTTCTCACTACCATAGAATCACCGAAATACCACCCACCAAATTAAACCAACCCATCTGGCCACCACCTCACCAAAGTAAACCACGCCGCCACCACCTCACCTTCATTCCAACCCGAAACCACCACCCCAACCACTTCCCTTGACTGCAGCCACAACCTTAGTTGAAACCCTAACCTTCACTAGAATCTCCACCATAGATTTGATTCCAGCAAACCTCCATCAACGAACCAATCAAAGCCCCCAACCCCACCTAAACCAAACACCTCCCTCACCTAAAATCTCCATCACAGAGCCGACATTACCAAACCTCCATCAACGAATCCAAACCCCCCAACCCCGCTTGAACTAAACATCACCCTCACCTAATCTACCACCACATACCTAACACCACCAAATCCATTCAATGAAACATAACCCCCCACCCGAAACCTCAAGAAATTTGATGGAATTGCCCTCATTGATCCAATTCTAGATAATATAAGTATCGCTTCGTTTAGGAATTTAAGACAGAAGATTCGACTCTTCAAATCACCGAATATTTTCGGAGAAGAATCTTCAAAATCTAGTGTTTCGATTGTTAAAGCGTCGGAAGTTGAATTGAAACTATTTTACGTTGATTTTGGTGTTATTGGGTATTAATTATTATGATGATTTTTTTTTTTTTTTTTTTGTAAAATTGAGATAAATTTTTGAAAAAGTGAGCTAAATATTGAAGATTGAAAATGAGAGAGAAAGACTGGGCTGGGATGGGTTGATGGGGAAAGAAAAGGAGAAGATGGGGAAGGGCCGAGAGGCAGTGGTGGTGACAGGTCGGGGCTGGGGTTTTGGTTTTTTTAATATATTATTATATTTGGTTTTTTTTAATTATTAAAAAATAGAATAAACCTATTAAAATATGACAGATGGCAAAAAAAAAAACCCTAATAAAACCGGTTACCAAAACAATTCAACCGGTCAGGGATTGTTAATGGAAGATCCCTATCAAAGGTGAGATTGTTTCCGGAATTTCAAAATGTGGAATTGTTTATGGAAGATGGATCAAAGGTGGGATTATTAGTTTTCATTTTTCCTTTTAATAATTTCAAAATTTAGATTTACTATGGTGCCTTATAGTTTTCACTTAGGGTGTATACTCTTCACTACCCAAGTACACATGAACTTAACTGAACTGAACTTATCTAAACTTAATTGAAACTTATTAAACGTTATTGAATTTATTGAAACTTATTATTATTATTATTATTATTATTATTATTATTATTATTATTATTATTATATCAAAAAACCTACAAAGTCAATCAATTTACAGGAAATTGGTGGGAAGCCAAGATACAATCTGGGCCCCCACCCCTCTAGCTATAGCAAACCCGATCCTTCTGAAAATGTGAGCAGCTACACGAGCACCAATATCCAAGTAACATCTTTCTCTAATTCCCTTAACGAAGAAAAGGAGAAAGGAAGATAACCATATCCAATAGCCTTGCAACGTGCCCCATACTTGTCCCGCTTCCGCTAAGCCGCCGCCGACACAACTCAACCAGGAACGAAGTCAGACAACCTCGATTTGTTATTATTATTATTATTATTATTATTATTATTATTATTATTATTATTATTATTATTATTATTACTACTACTACTACTACTACTACTACTACTACTACTACTACTACTACTACTACTACCTCCGGTCCAAATTACTCGCAACTTTGGGGTATTATTTGTGAGATATAAAATATTTCAAAGTTGCGAGTAATTTGGACCGGATGTTGTATTCTTATTATTATTATATCTTAAAAACTAAAGTCATACAACCTACAATAAATTAGTGGGAAGCCGAGATACAATTTGGGCCCCCACTCCTCTAGCTATAGCATAGCCTACCCTGGTGAAGATATGAACTGCCGCACGAGCCCCAATGTCTTGAGTCTTCGAGAACCTCTGAACCCGTTTCAGCAACGCAACAACCTCCATCTCTAATTCCCCAAGAGAAGAAATGAGAAGGCAATGAAACCATATCCATTCGCTTGACAACGAGCTTCATACTTAACCCGCTTCCGAATAGTCACATCAGCCACAACTCGTCCAGGAACAAAGTCAGCTAGCCATGTATGTCCACGATCCCATGAATAAAGTAACACATCGGCAGGTCTGAGGGCCCGTCATTCCCTCCAACCAATTCTATATGTCAACCTCCTTTCTTGTTGACAAAGTCATACAACCTACAAAATAATTACTGGGAAGCCGAGAAACAATATGAGCCTCCACTCCTCTAGCTATAGCAGCAAATCCTACCCTAGTAAATACTATTGTAGGCGTCGCTTGAAGTGCGCCTACGTAAAAGCATGTGGTGAATATGCTTGGCACTCATAGGAAGTGGGAATTGAAATTATACGATTAGGGACAAGGAAAGTAGGGAGCCGGGCAACAAGTTTTTAAGGAACTTGTAAACCGTTCACGGATCATAAAAGGCAACCACGATAAAGGGACAACGAAGGCAACAACGATTGACCCGTGAAGGTTACACCCCATTCATAATCCATGAGATTACTAACTCTATATGGTTCGGAACCACGAAAGGAGGATCGGGG